CGGTTTAGTCGAGCGCGGTTTAGTCGAGCGCGGTTTTGACGGGTCACGATCCAGGAGAGGTAATTCTTTTCAATTTTTCAGTGTTGCTACAGTAAGTACCCTTTTCTAAGGCATTGTACAATTCTGTTTTGTTTTTTAGGATTTGGGGATTTTTCCATTTCATTGTGTCAAGTGTCAAGGCTATATTTTGCAACCATATAAACTCTTCATTATTATTTTCTTTACTGATATTTCATCAAATGGTTTGTGATTTCTCTAGTAAAAGTAATAAAATAGAGACGTACTCCAGATAATATTTAAACTGAAAATAATACAATGGCTATTATATGGTTGCAAAATAGAATGTATGATATATCAGGGTAACTAATATCTCTGAATGTTCCTGTTTTATTACAATCCACAAAATTCTGTATCATCTTTGGGCCATCTATTTGTTTATTTCAATCACAAATGTCTTGAATGTTTACTATTTCTTGTTTATTGGCATTCTATGTGTTTGTGTATGCATTTTAATACAAATTATAAAATAATGATTTTCCCCCCTTCATAATTTGTATGTTAGGCAGAGAATCCTTATATTCAACTGCTTTAGACAAGTTTTAAATATATATTTTAGGTACAATTTTTAAATAATAAATATATTCTGTTCAGCTTTCAGGCTTCAGCTTTCTAATAATCAAATTATTGTTGTTGTTTTCTTTGAAGCTCATGTCTTCAAGAATGACACCAGAAAACTTTAAAACAACCACCGTTACTGATACAGAGGAAAAGGTGAAATGTAACGTTGATGAGGTAGAAATTAAAGAATTGCCACTGGAAAAGATGGAGAATATTGAAACTATGTCAAAAAGACAAAGAAAGAAGCTAATAAAGCAGAAACAATGGGAAGAACAAAGAGTCTTGCGCAAGTATGGTTTCTTATAAAAAGGATGGATTTTATTATTAGGCATTTCTGGACTGATTTATTTTATTGCTCCCCAGTTTCTTCCATGAAAAAGTTCAGAACTAAGCCTGCGGATTATATGATGTCATCCTGTCCTTTTCTCTGCTTCCTTTACATTGGAGAGGAGTGAACAAATGTGTACTCTCTCTCATCCTGTGTGATGAAAGACTTCTAGGAAACTCTTATGACCTATCTGATTTCACACTGTATAAGTGGTTGTCTTACTGGACAAATGAAATAATAGGTTATATATAAATACCTACAAATCTTTTTGTTTTCTTCTGGCCTTCCTTTCCACATTTCAAATATGCTTTTTGTCTTCGTGACTCATTATTATAGACTCATGATTCATTAGTGAGTAATATAGTAAAGTTTTGTTTCCATTTCAGGCAAAAACGTAAAGAAAAACGCTTGAAGAGAAAAATGGAGCGCCAGTCTCAGCTGGAATCAAACAGTGAAGGGAGTGTCAGGAAACGTATGCGTAGGGATATTGTTCCAAGTCCACTTCGGCTTATAATAGACTGCAGTTTTGACAATTTAATGGAATTAAAGGTAAATGGAAATGATATTTAAGAACAAATTCCAAGTGTCTTAACTGATGGATGGATTAAAATATTATATCAAGTCATTGTCAACTCATTGCAATCATTTAGATTTTGAAGTTATTTTCCAAAATTCCCAAAATATAGGTAATCTGGAGTTAATGACAACAGACTGTGACTGTTCGAAATTACAGTGCTCTGTTAGTATGAGGCAGGGGTGGGTTTCAACTGGTTCGCGGCGGTCCCTGCGAACCAGTTGGTCGGCGAACCCGGAAGTAAGTAACTTCCGGGAACGGCGAAGGGCCCACCCACCCGCCCGCGCTCCTTACCCAGTTTTGATTAGTTCTGTGCTTCCACGCATGCGCAGGATGCATACAGCGCCTGTGTGATCCTCCAGGAGCAGCTGGAGTATCGCACAGACGCTAGTACGCATGCGTGCACCGCACGCGTGCACGAGGATGCCACCGGCCCCGTTCCAACCAAACCAGTTGGAACGGGGCGAGAAACCCACCCCTGGTATGAGGTCAGGCCTCAACCCTTCCCCCATCCAAACACACTTGCGCCTTGCAGCAGTCCTCTTTCCCCACCCTCAGGTACTTGGACCTTACACCAACATCCCCTCCAGCTTACCCGCATTTATTCTTTGCATCAGCAATCTCTCTTTAGCTCCCATACATTCACACCTTGCAACAGCACACTCTTTCCAACCTGCACACAATCACAGCAGCTCTCCTCCCCACTCAACATGCACTCACAGCTTGCTACAGCAGCCAATTCCAAGCCCATGTACACTCATGCCTCACAGCAGCATCTCATCCCCATCCCATAAGCACTTATTGCAGTATCCTTCCATCTTGCCTCACTCTGTAATACTCGCCCTCCTTCCTGCAAGCCCCTGGGGACTTGAGACTTCCTGCCGACTTCCACACTGATTTTGGGGGAGGCTCGTTGCAATCATGAGAATGTGAGAATGTGAATGAGATGTTCTCATTTAAATAACCCATGACCCTCACTTAACAATGGTAATAAGGCCTGCTAGGATTGCTGTTGCTAAGAGATGCAGTCATGTGACATTGCACTTTGTTGACCACATTGTTTAGCAATGGAAATTAATATTTGAACTAAATTCATTCAAAAGAATTTTTGGAAAAATGTTAAAAACTTGAGGAATTAATGTATAATTAATGAAGGAACAGGACCGAAGAAGTAAGGTTTAACCTAGTACAAAATGTATGCTTCATTTTTGTGTGTATGCCTTTGAATCAGCATTAACTCTTCACAACTGCCTGGACTACTCCCTGCAGTTACTTTAACAGGATTTTTGGAAATGTCTTGCCCAACTAGAACCCACGATCTTCTGTTTTCCAGCCTGGTTCCTTAACCATGTCACCAGACTGGCTGTCATATGTATGTTAGTGTTACATGACAAAACTACCAATATTCTCAATAGGTTTAGAAAAATTTGTGTAAATTATAAATTGCTTGTATAGTTTAATTTTAGAAATATTGTCATTTTTCATTGCATAATTTTATTATATTTTACTAATATTTTACTAATAAATTGAATTTAAAATTAGACAAGTCCCAGAAAGAATTATGCATCAGTTAGGCATCATTTCGAAGCCATAATATACTTGGCCATGTGTACAGCATTGCTGCCCAGATATCTTTAATCAGATTGTTGGCTTTATCTAGATGATTTTTAGAGTGATGAGCTAGTGAAAAGAAAGTGAGCGAGCTCAGAAAATCTCTATACTTCTAGTATGCTTTCTCCAGGTATATGTTTTAGAAGTAATTTCTGTTGGTTAAAAGCTTCCTTTCTTTCTATTTAGCGTCTCTCTGACTCTCTTGGTTAAAGCATTTTGTGATGCTTTCTCTGAAGAACAGTATAAAAACAAATTGTATTATATACAGGATGTCAAGAAACTTCACAAGCAAATTCAGAGGTGTTATGCAGAAAATCGTAAAGCACTTCATCCTGTTCAGGTATGTCAGTCCAAGTAACCTCCAAATATCCTTCTTTGATGACTTTCTTAGTGTTATGCAATACATATGAAAGATATTTTTAACATAACATTATTATTATACTTGTATTTTTAGCATATTTTAATTTATAAAGATTTCTAGATATGTGGCAGTACAAATGTCCACGTGTCAAAATACAGTTGCCATACCTATCGTGAGTTTACACAATGCTGTGGATAATTTAAAGTACTGATTGCCATGGGTTTTTTTCATGCTACAAAATGTCTTAGGTAACAATGCACACATACAGAGAAAAGGAGCAAGAAGTAGTATCCATTGAGACAAGTAAAATATAAAATGTGGCTAAAGATAGTTTATAGTAATTCATTCAATAGATCTCTCCATATCTTTCTACTGCTTGCAAGTGATCCTTGCAAACCTCCACCACATCCTTAAACCAACTCAGACATTGCCTTTTGTTCTTTAAAGATCTCTCTCAGGTCCTTGTCAGCTGCATCCAGTAACTACTTCACTGTTCAGTAAATTCTTAATGTGATGGATGGGCTTGATGAAGTGAATGTCTTTTCAAAGGAAGTGGCAATCAGCTATTTCCCAAACTGTAGGCAGAACTCCAGAATGTGGGACACGGAGGATCCCCGTTTTTAAAAACCTGGCAGAGGAAGAGCTCAAGACTCTGATCCTCTCTTTGACTGCACAAGCCACAGGGGGAACTTGTACCCAAAACTAGAACCCCTGATTTCTAGATTTAAATCTTAAATGTTGAAATGGCCCATTTATTCCCGACTTCCAATGAAACCATTCCATTTACTGTCATACAAATCTCCCTTGTGGGTACGACGGATTCCCCCCCCCCCCCCCATGTATTTCCCACCCACCTCCTTCCGCGCTGCTGGCTGGCAAGGGCTGCTGCTCCAGCGCAGGCCGGCAGAGAAAGAGAGGCAGCCCCCTCCTCTGCCTCCTCTTGCAAAGAGACTCAGCAGCCCTCCAGGACCCTCCCCCCCTCTCCCTCCCTCATGGGCTTAGGAACCCGCCTCTCCACTCTCACACTTCCGGGCTGCAAAGCAGATGGGAGGCTGATACGCTCGGGCTTTGGTGCCTCAACTTGCCGAAGGAAGCTCAGCTCCTACGGCGACCCTGGATTGCTTTTTTCAATCCGGGTTTTTAAAAAATAAATAAATCAAGGAGGAGGGGCACAAAACAGAATAGCCGCTGCTTTGTGGGTAAGGATTTTGAGAGGAGCTCCCAAGTGGGGAGAAGGAGCCTTGGGAAAGAAACGAGTTGGCTTCTCTGCTTTGCTTTTAAATGCACCCATAGGTGTGCGTTTCTCCGTTTTCTTCCCTATCGCTGGTATAAGGCTCTCGCTGGAGGCTGGATGGCCTTTCTGGGGCTTGTTATTTACACACAACACACTATAACCCCTTCTATGGCCCTGTCATTCCAAGTAGAGTCTTGCGTCCTGCGAGGGGGCCACTTCCAGTGCTCCTCTGCCACCTTCCTTGCCTCTTAGTGCCCCCCTGCCGCCCCCCTTGCCTCTTAGCGCCCCCCTGCTGCCCCCTTGCCTCTTAGCGCCCCCCTAAGTCATCCCACTGCCCCCCAGGGCCCACTTTGGGAACCACTGTACTAAACCATACCTAACCACTGTATGAACTTTAATATAGCAACTGCGGAGCAAGGCACAGGCCATATCTAGCCACATAAATGATGTGATACCTCATACAGATACACTGCAGATTTCATGGAAAAGGCATTCCACTGAGCAGCTTGGGAGGTTTTTTCTACCAAGTTGTACTTGACAACTTGTATTGCACATGACATTAGTGAATGCCAGGATGGTTATAAAAACTTTATAAACTAATTCTTGGTAGGGTTATATGGTTCCATACTTCTTATTTCATCTATAGTCTGTCTAACGTTTGCCAAACATTATTTGGGTCTTTATGTAACATCGCAGAATCACCTAAAGTGTGTACAAAAAACACCCCTTTGGACTTCCAGCTCTTTAAGTTATTGTCCTGTTTGAGGTGAAACTAAAATGTGTAAAATATGAAATGGTGGAAAAGAGTATTTGGCTGTATGCTCCTAAAAATTATCAATAAATGTTGCATGCATTTTTATTCCCTAGTTTTACTTGACTAGTCACGGAGGACAGCTGAAGGACAATATGAATGAAACAGACAAGGGATGGATAAATTGGAAGGTGCTAGCAATTTAAGTATATAATTTTAATTAACTATTACAATTTTTAAAAAATGGATCAATTTCTTTGATTTGAATTTGACGGGTACTGTCTCAACATTATCAATTGTCAGATTGCTGGACTATGAACTTTGCCTTCAGTAAAATGAAACTACTGATTTCATTTTAGTTACAACAGTTCATTTAGTGAACATTTGAAGTTACAATGGCACTGAAAATAGTAACTTATGACTCTTCATCACCTGCATGACCATTTCCAGCTTCCCTATGATGGTACGATCAGAATTGAAATGTTGAGCAACTGACATGTGTTGGTGAAGTTGCAGTGTCCCAAGGTCATGTAATCACCCTTTGATACCTGACAGACAGAGTCAGCAGGGAAATCAGATTCATTTAACAACCATGTTGCTAACTTAATAACTGCTGTGATTCACAACAGCAGTGGTAAGAAAGGTCATAAAATGAGGCAAAACGTACTTCACTGTCTTGCTTAGCCACAGAAATTTTGGGCTCAATTATGGTCATAAGTCAAAGATTGCCTCTATTTTATGATGACTGAGTGACTTACAAATAAGTGCCTTCTTCATTTTAGCTATAATCTTTCCAATATTCTATTTATAGCATAGATCTGTGATGGTGAACCTATGGCACACACACCACAGGTGGCACACAGAGCCATATCTGCCGGCACATGAGCCGTCAGCTCCAGTGCACATTCCAGACAGCGGATTTTCGTCCTCCCCAAGCTTCAGGAAAGCCTCCGGAGCCTGAGGAGGGTGAAAAATGGATCCAATGGGCCTACCAGAAGTTCAGAAATGATCTGTTTCCTGCTTTCAGAGGGGGGCCGGGGGAGGCTTTGCATTATGGGTGCCAGCACATGTGTGTGCTATTGCGCATTTGCATTTTTGGCACCCAACAACAAAAGGGTTAGCCATCACGTATAGTTTTCTTAGTACAGGCATAGAATGAATGAATGAATGAATGAATTGAATGAACGAACGAACATACATACATACATACATACATACATACATACATACATCATAAAACAATAGCAGTTAGACTTATATACCGCTTCATAGGGCTTTCAGCCCTCTCTAAGCGGTTTACAGAGTCAGCATATTGCCCCCACAGTCTGGGTCCTCATTTCACCCCCCTCGGAAGGATGGAAGGCTGAGTCAACCTTGAGCCGGTGAGATTTGAACTGCTGAACTGCAGATAACAGTCAGCTGAAGTGGCCTGCAGTACTGCACCCTAACCACTGCACCACCTCGGCTCATTTAACATTATATGTATGTGTGTATCTATCTATCTATCTATCTATCTATCTATCTATCTATCTATCTATCTATCTATCTATCATCTATCTATTTAGAGTTACAACCCCCGGTATGCCCAAATATGGGAGGAAGATCACTACTTCCATTCTCTGTCCTTCGGCTCGTCACAAGAGACCATCCAGACAGAAACCCAATATTTTTACTGTTGCCTTTTTGTTACATTTGTTGTATTTGTGCTGATAAATAAATAAAGGGAGACTAGTATAGATCTATTTCAAGCTATTTAGCTCTCATCAGCTAGTCATACCCTTACTGGGAATCGAACCTGTGTTGTATTGCATCTTAGGCAGATGTGTTAACCACTAAGCCACAGAGTTCGACTCCTTATCAGCCAAGCCAGGGTGAAAGGTATCTATTTAGAGTTACATACACACACACACACACACACACACACATATTCAAAGTAGTGAAAAATCTGTAGTTTTAAAATAATTTATGTCTTTGTGTTTATGTCTTGAAGGATATTCAAATTAAATCAGCTCATTATAGTGAGTTGGTAAAAAAAGAAGATCTTGTTTACCTCACCTCAGATTCTCCAGATGTCTTGAGTGAATTAGATGAATCAAAAGCCTATGTTATTGGAGGCTTGGTTGATCACAATCATCACAAGGTAGATGATTAATTATAATGTGCACACATACTTGAAAAAAATATTATTGATGTCTACCATGTTTTCCCGAAAATAAGACCTAACCAGAAAATAAGCCCTAGCCTAATTTCTAGCATGGTCCTAATATGTGTGGGACAATGGGCTGATGGTGTCCAGCAGTAGCCACAGCCCACACAGCACAGGTAAGTTGATTACCTGTCCAGAGGAAGAGGCAGGTGATCCTGGTGTGCCCCGCAGGCAAGCCGAGAGATAGTGGGACAAAGTGGACAGGTGGCTCCGAGAGGCTCATCTTTGCATCTCTTGGCTTGCCTCTGACTCAGGTTTGCTAGTCTTCCCTCCCTCCCCAACCCCCCGTGTTGGTGCCACTGCACAAAGATGAGCCTCCTAAGGCCAACTGCCCGCTCCAGCCCACCGACTCAGTTTTTCCGTGGCCTGCACGCCGTGTCCAAATTGCCTGCTTCCCCCCTGTATCTCTGCCTCCCTGCGGTGCTTGGACAGATAATCAACTTGCATGGGCTGCACAACTCTGGACTATGCGTACTGGGGGAGAGGGGGGACGCCTGATATCACGTTTCCCTGAAAATAAGCCCTAATGCGTCTTTTGGAGTGGGGGAAACCGGGCCTTATTTTCAGGGAAACATGGTAAAAATTAATGGAAAATTAAATGGGATTTATATGAATGTAATTCAGTTTGGAGAATTTGTGACTGTCCACATATTATTAAACTAAAACATCCCTCAGTACTGATCATGGTGAGAGTCATTGGAATGTACAGTATTTTTCTTCATTTATATCCTGCACCACAGTTTAGGGTATAACAAAGTCAAATGTAAAAATCAAAAACATAATTGGATAAGTTGGACTTTTATATATTATATGTTGGACAGCTGTCAATAAATCTCATAGATGTTTTTGAAACTGATCTAAGGGCTGACCATTCATTAGAATTAAACAACTTTTAATGTATTCACAATATGCCAGCAGAATTGGGGGCCATTCGTGCTTCTGGGGAAGAGTAAACCTGGGGTTACCATTGAGGAGGCCTTTTTAGAACATGTCCCATGCACCTAAGAAGTGGTAGACCCTCTTTTATTTACAGGCAAAATAGATGGGGTCAGTTCTTTCACATGCCCGATATATCCTGGAGCTGCATTAATAGTTATAAAAAGATTTAAAAGTATTTTGAATTGGGCCTGAAAACCTACACATAACCAGTATGAGTTCAAAATGGATGCTATCCAAACCTGTTAGGAACCACTACATTATGTACTAGCTGTAGTTTCTTGGATCATTTTCAAAGACGACCTCATGCGGGGCGCATTACAATAGGCTGACCAAATCAGAGCATCAGTTCCTATCATCAAGAGACATTTTGGTTCAAGTAGGATTACACTGGCATATCAGATGGAGCTGGGTGAAGACTTTCTGACCATGGTTTCCACCCTTTTGTCCTGGAGATGCCGTAAATCCTGAATCCACGGCAAACTCCTGTCAGGAGCATATAAAGTGATATCTCAGCCCAAACTTCTGAACAATTTCCCTTAGGGGTTTTCATGCACCTTTAAATAATGTATTTTGCGGTGTATAAGATGCACCTCCCCCCCCCCCAAAAAAAGTGGGTGAAAATCTGGGTGCATCTTATACACTGAATATAGCATTTTTGGCCTCCCAAAACCTTGCGCCCTTTGCAAAAATGGCCATGCAGAGGGTTTGGGAGGCGTCCAGAATGCTCCTGGGAGCTGGGGAGGGCAAAAATGAGTGAAAAACAGGCCGTGTTTTGCTCGTTTTTCCCCCCAGCCCCCAGGAGCACTCTATAAGCCTCCTAAAGGCTATGTGTGCAATTATTTTGACAAAAACGGGGCCCATTTTTGCAAAAAACAGGTCATTTTTTGCTCTTTATGACCCCTTCCTCCAGCCCCCAGGAGCACTCTACAAGCCTCCTAAAGGCTATGCATAACTTTTTTTTTTTTGACAAAAAATAGGCCTGTTTTCGTGAAAAACAGGCTATTTTTGGGAGGTCTGTAGAGTGCAAAAACTTTTTTTAAAAAATTGCCTCTTCAAAATCTTGGTGCGTCTTATACTCCGAAAAATATGGTAATATGGAGGAGACCACTGAGCCCTGAGGCACCTGCACTGACTTCTCAGGGGCTCAAGTGCTGATCTCCCAAGTTCACCAGCAGGAACTATTCATTCAAGTAAGAGGATCCATACCATTCCATAAGTAAATGAAATTTCTGTAGATACTGTCACACTACAGATCTTTATTATGGTCACAGGACAGCATATTATCACAACACAGCTATGCTCCGTAACACAAATAACAGCATGTCAGCGGTGCATTTGTGCGGTTAGTATTTCATCCAATACACATTCTGTTATTTTAATCATGTTTATTGTATTGCTAGTATTAAAAATAAATGCCAAAGGAATTTAGTGTCTAATAAAAGTGTCTAATAACACTGTTTATAGCATACATAGGCATACGTTTACAGGAAAATCTGTAGGATGTGTAAATACGGCAAGCTGTTGAATGGTTGGTATGTCCATTATCATTTGTCATCCTCTTACTGTTTCTTTAAAAAGCTTGTATAATTTTTATGGGTTTCTGATGATCTGCCTTCAAGTCATAGTCTAGGGATATTTTTTTTTAGCTTCACCAGCTGTTATTGGTTAATATGGGTAGTTTTGGGACATTATTGAAAATGTGAGTCCAATATTTGTGGAAGTGAGGTTATAGCATAGAATGGATTTGACAAACACAAAAATTTGTGCACAATTTAAGAAAAAAAGCCAGTAATCTTTTGAGGTGTTTCTCTCCATATCAGCTCTGGTTCAGTTCATAAAGAAACTATTTATTTTGGTGAATACATAGTTAATTAGTTAACTTTGTATACAAGCCATGAAAATAAAAGTGAAGTCGTTTCTCAGCATTTTAGGTTATATATATAATAGCTTAATAATTGGTATCTTTTATAAATCAATGCTCTATAAAATATATGAATCATCTATATGAATGTTCTAGGGCTTCGGGGGGTGGATCTGCCGCCGTCGGGAGCTCAACAAAGCTCCTGCCAGGACTCTGGGTCATATATCTCATAAGATCTACAGATATCTCCCCTTTCGGGCAGAAAGGGGCAGGGAGAAGGTCAGTCGTTAGGATCTCTTTGTAATTCATAGCTTTTNAGGTATCTATTTAGAGTTACAGCCCCGGGTATGCCCAAATATGGAATGGAAGTAGCATACCGGGGGTTGTAACACACTCTCCCTCTCTCTCTCTCTCTATATATATATATATATAGATAGATAGATAGATAGATAGATAGATAGAGAGAGAGAGAGAGAGAGAGAGTTACAACCCCCGGTATGCTGTCTTCCTCCCAAATATGTGTGTATGTATATGTGCATATATATATATATATATATATACACATATACATACACACACACATATATACATACATACACATACACACACACACATACATATATACATACATACATATATATATATATATATACACACACACACACATACACACATACATATATATGTATATATTTCAGTTCAATGTAGGTAATTTAATGTATAAACTTTTTGTGTGCTTATATGTGTGCATACGTGTGTGTGTCAGTGGTGGATTTCAGACGGCATTACTGCCAGTTCGCTCATGCACACACTTTGTATGTGTGCGCAAGCTAGATGTGTGTTATGCACGCAAGGTCAATGGGAATTGTTCTGCGCATGCGCAGAACTAAAAAAAAAAAAGATGGTGGCAATGGCAGCGACCGGGGAACCAGTTTGGAGGTGTGGCCAGCTTGGGTCACTGCCCCAGCTGGCATTCCATTACTGGTTTGGCCGAACCGGTAGGAACCCACCTCTGGTGTGTGGGTGTGTGTGTATCATCTTTTCCTAGAAGATTGGTGTGTAAGACCATGAAAAGAATTGTACAGGATTCATCTGAGAGATAGGGCTGTTAATCATAGGATGGGTCTGCCTCTCCCAAAGTAATATTGTGATATAAAAAGGCTGTTCTATTCAGTGAGATCCCTTTCCTTGTCATTTTTGTTCCATGTGAACTGTGTAATTGTATCTTGACAGCTGTTTCCTGTCTATAGTCTCTTAGCAAAGGTGCAACCCTATTTTAAGCACGAGGCAGCCATTTGTAAATACATGAAGAGTCAAGCTCTTCTGACTATTAGGTTTATTGCTGAGAATATAACCTACTTGAGCAGTCTGCTATAGATCTGGCTCCAATGATTGTCGTTGTTCCATAAAATGGGCAAGATAAGCAATAGGACTTTCCTGGATCAGGTTGGTAATAGTCCCTGGGACAAGGATGACACGGCATTAAACCAGAACGTGAGAATTCTCCAGTTGGGCAAGGAACTGCAAAGCACACAACAGAATCTTCTTTTATGTGCTGATATATCATTTTAACATTGCTTTACAAAACAGAAAAGACCCGTTTCAATCAATGGAAAGCTTTGGATGGATGGGAATCATATCCCTCAACCGAGTGGATTTAAATGTTCCACACCCAGATTATTGTACCAAATCTCTGTCATCTAGATAACGTTTCCCAAATTCCAATCTTATATGCATACGTTTACTCAGAAATGTCACTAGGTTTGCAACACAGTGCAAGATTAACTTAAAATGAAATCACCAGGTCATATAAAAAGAGAATTAAACAAGTATCCATTTGTACTCTGGGAATTCCAAATTTCTTATCTTACAGCCACAATCTTAAATTTTCAGAAGGTCAAAATATCAGAAAAAGAATGGACATGCTTTTCAATGTTTTGCATATCTTTAAGTTACAAACAATGACCCCAAAAATGCTTTTTCCAAAAGGCGATTGGACTTTCTTGGGTTTCTTTTTTTAGTTTGAAAACATTTCATTTCTCATCCAAGAAGTTTTCTCAGTTCTCCTTCTTCAATGAGAATTGAAACATTTTCAAAGGAAAAAAACCCAAGAAAGTCCAGTTGCCATTTGGAAAAAGATCCTTTGGGACCACCATGACCTGGATGATTGAGAATCTCCATAGACATATGACCCCAAAACAGCACCAAATGTCAAATACTTGATATTTGCCAAATAATATGGCCTGTTGGTTTATTTGTTAGATTCATATCCTACTTTTCCTCATATTTCTAATTCTGCACTGGCAACAGAAACAGATTTATTTCTCAGAGGACAAGCAAAACTATTTTCAAGTTTAGCCAGAAAGTAATTTTGTTTCCCCCCGTGTTTATATTATGCAAGAAACAAATAAAAGCACTAATAACATATGGAAATAATCTGCTATTGTTACCAGTGCACTGTTGGAAACTAAAAACTAATACTTGGTAACATAAACAAGTACTGTCTAAACAGAGGTCTCAGGAGGTTGTTTCTTTAAAGTATGGCTACAGTTCAAATCCTTTGTGCAGAAAATTAAGGTCCACTAGATAAATAAGATAGACTACAGATATAATGCATGCTACTACTTAAAAATATTTCAGTTATGCAGGGATCAGGGAAGGGAAGTGATAGATAATGCATGGTATTTAGCAACATGCTGTTTCCTGGAATCTAGATATCACAAACCTCCACATGCTGATATATCCACAGCTCCTCTTTTGACTGTTGACATATTTTCTGGACAAGAAAGGCAGTTCTTAGATCCAGTGGTGGGCTGATATTTGCCAAAGGGACATGATTCACAGATCTCAAGGCCATTTGGAGAAGAGGTTCCCGGCTTGCACTGAGCTGAGTATACGAGAACAGTACAACCTAATTAAAAATCTCTAATTTAAAAAAATGCTTATCAATTCCAAGCGGCTGAAAAATAAGAGCAAAAATAAACCCCGCGATCCAATGCAGAACAACAGCATCTGCACTGAGTTGTAACTGGTGACTTAGAAGCCTTGAGCAAGCTAAGTGTATTAGCCAGGCATGAAATCCTCTTACCTTTGCTACCGGTTCGGAACTGGGAGCTCGCATACAGCACTTCTGAGCATGCACAAAAGCTTCTTGCATGCACAGAGCGTCCGTGATGAGGTCTGGGCAGGTGGGCGGAGCCTCCCACTGTCACCACTACAGGTTCGCCTGAACCGGTGCGAACCGGCAAAATACTACCTCTGGTATTAGCTTGCAAAATACAATTTGTAAAGAGGATCTGCCACAAATATGGATATGTTTATTGCAGAAGCTCGGTGTTTTGTTTGGAATATTCCATTGAAACCATAAACTACTCTACCATAAAAATGAGAAGTACAGAGAATAAAGAAGCTTTTTTTGATTATTGACATTCTGTTATAATAAAACTGATATATTAGCTCCACTGAAAAGACCACATAATCACTGAGACAAAAGAAGAACAAAATAATATAAATTATAAAAACTGTGAAAAGCATGCAAATTATTATTAGGATCTTATTGTAATTATTTTAGTCTGTCATTCTAACTTCCTGATTGAGTAATTTCTTTCATATTTGAAGCTGTTGTGTTTCAACTGCTATTTTTATTGTCCTTAACTGTTTTGGAAACCATTTCTGTAAAAAAACCCAAATTATTTATTTAAACAAAAGTATTTATGCCAGAACACTGATTCTAATGCGATTTATCAGAACCACAGTAAAAGAATTGCTTTCATTTCCATTGCAGCTTTCTTTTCCAGAAATTGTCAATCTATTTACTACTAATGATGTTTTCCTCTACTTGATAATATCTGATATACTGCTTCGACTTTGTATTCAGAGAAATTGGATAATTGTTACAAGGGCATTTTACTCTCTGTAGCCTACAGGTAGACCTCAACTTATTATTGTTATTGAGAGTAGAATTTCTTTTGCTAAGCAAGGCAATTGTTAAATCAATTGTGCCCAATTTTACAACTTTTCTTGCCACTGTTGTTAAGCGAATCATTGTAGTTCAATGATTCATCCAGTCGTTAAGCAAATTTGGCTTCCCCCATTGACTTTGCTTGTCAGAAACCAGCCGGAAGGTCCAAATTGTGACCACATGACCCCAGAATGCTGTAACTGTTGTCAATACATGCCATTTGCCAAGTACCCAAATTTTGATTATGTGACCGTGAGAATGCTAAGATGGTCATAAGTGCAAGGACTGGTTATAAGTCCTTTTTTCAGTGCCGCTGTAATTTTAAATGCCACTAAACAAATAGTGGTAAGTTGAGGACTACCTGTATAACTTCTTGAAAAAGAAATTATCTTGCTGGCTACTTTTAGGAAAAAACCAGATTAGATGCAGTGATCAGACCCATCTCTCTCCCTCCCTCCCTCCCTCTCTCACACACGCACACAGAGTGAAGATTGAAGATTGAATTGCTTTGCTTCTTTGAAACCTTATAGCTATTCAATTTGCAAATGAACTGGGGGGGGGTGGAGGGTGGAATGGAGTGCTGAGAAGTTGTCCACAGATCCTGAGAGCCTAAAAACCATCAAGGTCAGAACTGCAGATGCTTGAGGAGGTGGTGGACTGTTCCCATAACAAAAGGATGTCTCATAATTGGACAATGTGATCACCCAGAGGTGGGGAGAAAGGGAAGCTATTGTTTAACGAGGCAAGTATTTGCACAGAAAACTAGAGAGGGTTTTGATTCTTCAGTACCTTAATGGTATATCCAATAAAGCTTTACTTTTCACGTTTCAAAGCTCCCAAGAGTGTTTACTTATTTGGGTGCACTAGTCAGACGGTTGACACACACGTCTTTCTAAAAAGTTGTGATATTTTATAAACAAATAGAGGTTTTTTTTATAAAAACAGAATATTCTTTAATGTAAATTTAACTTTTGCTTCCAAACATCTAGAATAAACATAATTTAAATAAGCATTAACATTTGTTTGCATATTTAAATAAAAAAATACTGGTTCCCTCAATAGCTAAATAAATAAATATTATATGCAGGATCCAATTAGGTCAGTCACTGGGACTAGAGGTTTTGTCTTCTGAGCTTTCGAACTTCGCCTTCATTCATGAAATATTATATGATTGCAAATTTCCTACCTTTGCATTCTGACATGCTTCTGGAATGGAGATATTCAGTATAAGTGTTAGATGGACAATTTTTACATTCTAGCTGTCCTTCCTCATCTTGATATGATCCGATCCAGCAACTTTCACATGCATGATGTTCCAGAGAATAGTAAGTACCCAAAGGACAGTTAACTGGAATTTAATTAGATAAAATATGAATAAAATGTTGGGTGTGGAACGATGGTTTAACATATATTCTGACCCAATTCTCAAACTGCAGATGGCAATGTAATCTGTATCTGTATTATCACAGACACAGTTCATACGTGTGCAAAAACTATATGAGGCACATGATTGATTGAACAGATAATTGCAGATTAACTGAAAATGTGTTAAAATAGTCATAACTGCTGAAATCCAAATAGTAGTGTGCTACTGATGAAATATTTCTATGGGTGAAGGAGAAAGAAGCCACTCTTCTTCCTTCATGACCAGAGCTATTCTGGAGGATTTGTGGAACTTCATGCAGTACAAGAATGTATTAGTATCATAGAAAAACATGTTCCCACACCTCCCCCATCCTGCTGAAGGAAGCCTTCTCTAAGAGGTAGGAAATTAGCTGAGTAGCCAAACGTTTCCGAAGTGAAAATAAATAAGATAGCATTAACAGCGAATTTAAGATTGACATTATATGATTCTTTTGATTCTTCCTTGAAAGTTGACATATGCAATAATTCCAAGATGATAGCCTTTTAAACATATTAACTTAAATTAAATTAACTGAGATTAAAATTACCTACCACACATTCGCCCCCGTAGAACAGAGCCCGGTTTGCAGAAAAGAAAAGCTTTTTCAGCTTCTAGAGAATTGATGTCAGCTATAAGCAACTCAGAAGACAACTGAAAAGAATACATGGGATGCTTGTTGAGAGTTCTTTTCAATCTATTTGTGATCCTCTCTAGTGTTTTTAGCAGGCGCTGCTGGTTTTCTGCTTCCAGAGAATCATTGCGTTTGTCAGGCAGTGGTACAGTAGCTATGATTAAAAAACAATCATCTTATGTAAAAGACAGAGGCATTACAAAGTTAATTAGCATAATGCTCTTTAGAAGCATGCAGAAGAATAGAAAAATTCTTCAACCTGTGAAGTGTTCAACATAATTCCTATGAATGTTCTATTTACAAAACACTCAAAAAACGCTCCATTTTAAAAAGGTGTACTCCATATTCCTAAATAATAAAAAGACAAATGTTTTCATACCAGTGATATTAAAAATTAACTTTATTTTGTGGTCTGACATGGGCGTATTTATTTTTTTGTGTCTTTTGACCCGGGAGTTTGCCACATCCACAGAATCAGATGGTAATTTAGGTAGTTGCTCTTCAGAATCTACTTCAACAAAATCATCGTAAGAGTAATCCAGCCGATTTATGGCACCCCAGCCACCAGGACCTGTTGGTAATAGAGAGGGAGAGAGAGAAAAAAAGAAATATCCCACAAGAAACAAGTAACATTTATGAATGGTAACAAGCTGTTCAAGCACAATTACATTTTTTAGGAGAAGAGAAAGGGACAAGCAACAGCTACTGACTTGACAATTTATAGGATAAGATGCCAACATGAAAGGTCAACTCCTACCCAAAGGTTAAGCAGAGAGATAAAGTATGAATGAATGAAATAGAGACCTGACACTGCTGTTTCTAGGGAAGGAAACATAGGGGGAAGGTAGTGGAGAAATAAATGATGGAATGAGGTGTTAATGGTTTATTCTTTTTTTCCTGGCCATTTTTCTATTTTTTGTCTTCTAATGTGCTTACCTGGGTTTACCAGGAGCACTGGTCTGACTCAGTTCATACAGGCAGTCCACAGGTTACAACAGTTCACTTAATGACTGCTCAAAGTTACAACAATAATGAAAAAAGGGACTTTTGACCATTTTTCAGTTACGACCTATGTAGCATCCCCATGATCATGTGATCAAATGCTTGGCAACTTGGCTCATACTTATGACCATTGCTGTGTCCCAAGGTCATGTGATCCTCTTTTGCCACCTTCTGACAAGTCAATGGGGAAGTCAGATTCATTTAATAACTTGGTTACGAAGTCATCAACTGCAGCGATTCACCTAACGACTGTCTCATTTCGCAACATAAATTTTGGGCTCAACTGTGGTCAGAATTGCTATAGGAGACAAGCTAAATATTTCTTTCTTCAGAACTTATAGATGATAAAGGGCAAGTCACTTCACTTACCAATTGCAAAGCCATTTTCATAGTCGTAATTATATTCTAAGCAATGTTTCTGTGGCAGATCCTCAAACCTGCAGTCAATGTCATCAACGTCATTGCAAAAAGATGGAACCTATAAAACCAGGAAAGAGCAGTAACAAAAATAATTAGTTTACCACCGAATGACACTGTACAATTTGGCTTAACTCCCTTTCTTGCCTCATACAATACACACACTTGGAATACTGCATTCAATTTTGGTCGCCACGATGTAGAAAAGATGTGGAGACTCTAAAAAGAGTG